AATAGTTTTGCACAATATATTTTTAGAAATATTATTAATTTTTGAATCACGAATAATATTACATAATATATATATAACACTATGTTGAGTATAATTCAATTTTTTTAAATTTGAAATATTTAATGGAGTTGATATATGATTTATATCGTTAATTCTGTCAATATCAGCACTATTATCAAATTTATATCTCCATATACTTCCATGATATTGACGCTTATGAAATAATCGTTTAAATTCTTGGGTTTTATATTGATTTAGTGGATCAACTATTGATATACTTTTAAAATCCTTAGCAATTTGTATTCTATCATAACTATTGAAATTAAAAAAATTGTTTAATGTGTCGTCATATTGCCATATTAACTCAACAGAAGCATTAAAATTGTATCCAAAATTTTTGTTAAACATATATCCTTTAGTATGTAAAATATTATTTGAGTTAATAGTAATGTAAGGCATTTTATATTCAATATCGTCTAAATTTTTAAAATAAACATTAAAATTTTCAAATTTATCGGCCATAAATGTTTCATATATTTTATTATTCATAAAGTATTTTACCAAATAATCTTTGGTTAAATTTAATGCAGTCATTTTAGATTTAATGTCTAAAACAAATTTCTTCATATCTTCTATATTATTAAGAAATGTCCCATTTAGTTTAACGGATACAATGCGTTTTGTATTAAAATTCCAATCACCGTTATAATTAAAAGGAAATTTTGTGTAGCACCAAACTAAATGAAATTCACAATCATTAATTCTATTTTTTGATTTTGGAACAATAATTTCTGAAAGTCCACATTCCATTGGTGTAGTAAATTCTTTTGTTTTAGTTAAATGAGTTGTAAAATCACTTGGTGTTAATTTTGTCGATGATAATATTATTGGAAAACTCTCCGTATCTATTTTAATTGACATTATAGTTAATATTTTATTAATTCTTTATCATAATATGAACCCCGAATTATATTTCCTTTTTTGTCTTTCACTCTATATTTAAAATACGGCGATGTATTATATACTTTATGAATAAAAAAAATTTCACTTGTAAAATTAGGATAGTAGCCTTTTTCAAAATTGCCTCGATGTAATATCAATCGAACTTTATCTCCGACTTTAAACTTTTGAATTCCTCGTGTTTTTGTAATTTTATAAAGATTTCTATAAACTAATCTTTCATTTGTTTTATTAACTTCAATTGGTTTAAATTTAGTTCTACTATGAGTAGTGTTATTATATCCATTTACAATTTTGTCTAATACATTAATGAAACGATCGGTTTTATTATATGTTAAATATTTGAATATTCTTTCTTTAATAGTTCGATTCCACCTCTCAACTACAGAAGCTTTAGTCCCGTCTTTTAAGAATAACTGTTTGATTTTTCGCCATTTCAAATATTTTTTTAATAATTTATTTGTAAATTCCTTTCCAGCATCAGTTGTTAATAATTTTGGTTTTCGTTTTGATATTGAAAATATTTTTATAAAAGCTCGTTTAACACTTTCTTTATTTTTATTTTTTAAAGGAATAGACCAACCAAATTTTGATAAAACATCTATTGCCATTAAAATATATCTATAATTGTCATTTTCTGTATATTTACCTATTTCGATTAAATCTGCTTGCCATATATCGTCAATATGCCTTGAAATTATTGGATTTCGAGAAAATATAAATTTAGGATAACGATGAATAGAATAGGTTTTTTGTTGTAATAACCATTTTAACACATTTTTATGTTTAAATTTAAAATTTTTATTTTTTAAAACATTATACAAATTATTTAAACCAGTAAAACTGGATGGTTCATTCACATTATAATAAGAATTTTTAATTAAATTGTTGCCATACATTATCATCTTCTGAATCACTACTGAACAAACCTAATCCTAATTCATCAGCTCTTTTCTTTTTCGAAGTTTTTGGTTTTTGAAATTTTTCAAAATAGACAACTCGTTGTTTCAATGGAGAATGTTGTCCTAATGGTTTTGTATGTTTAGTAAATGAAGGCAACTTTCGCTTTTTAGGGTGAGGTGAATTTGAACTTGTAAAAATGTTTTTTCGTTTTTGATTTGTTATAATTGGAGTTAGTTTTTTAGGAATATGTTGTTGTGTAGACTTCTTTGATCTTTTGTTGGGCACCTGTTGTTTTATAATAGCTATTTTATACCGTTTATTTTTTCCTTTTGATTTACTAGATTTTGTTTTAATAATAGGAGCCACAGGGTCAATGTCAACACTTTTATTTTGAGATATAAATATATCATGCTCATGCTGTCGTTTAAATACTAAATATCTTCTAAGAGCTTCAGTATATAATTTTGCCTTTTCTCTTTCATTAACATCTGTAGATAAAATATTATCAATTTCTTGATTTAGATCATTTATACGTTTTAGTTTAGTTGGTATTTTGTATTTATTTATATTATTAATATCTTCATTAGTTGTATTAATTTCCGGCACTTGTTTAACTAAACGCATCTTTTTAAAACTCATTTTTCAATCTTGCGGTTTAAAAAATCGTGAATTAATGAAGAGATAAAAGATATAGCAGGCGGAATTAAAATACTTAACAATTGACCACCTTTTTGAGTTAAGAGCTTTTTACGTTTTATAATGGGAGATAACTTTGAAAGTTTTCGAATTATAATTTTAAATTTTTTTAGATTTTTAAATTCTTGATCCTGTAGAGGTATATTTCCTGCTAGACAATTTTTAGCAATTTCAGATATAGAGTTTATAACACAATTTTTTGCACTTTTTATTAGTTTATTTCTTTCCTTGGTTGATTTAGCTTTTGAAATTTTAACTAAATATTTAGAGCACTTTGCAACTGAATTAAACTTTAGATACTTTAACGTAGGCAATGTGGTCTTCATTTGGAAATATATTTGTCCTTACTCGTAGATTTACTGGAGTATTTTGATCAAAATCTAAAAATAAATAGCTAAATGGTTTGTTATTAGTAGCATCTTTATAGCAATCGATTATAAATGTTTTATTCACGCCATCTATTTGATAACTTAAAATTTTAATTTGTAAATTTTCTCTAGGATTAGCCATTAACACAATATATGTTGCATTAGTTGATATATCTCTCATGTATTTACTTTTTGGAAACAAATTTTGAACCAATAAAATTACAGTAATGTTTTTATGATGAGATAATTTTGTAAATAAATCACTTATTAATACGTCATTGGTAACAGTATGCATGTTATCATCTAAAATTAATAAATTATTTTCATTTTTATCGATTTCATTAATTACATCATTGTCAATGTTTGATATTTTATCGATTGATATTCCATGAATTGAATTTAAATCAGGAAAACCTTGCCCAGAGCAATATATTATTTTATCAAAGTAGAATCCATATAAATCATGCTGGTGGACTAATAATTTATTCACAAACGTGCTTTTGCCAGAACCAGAAGGACCGTAAATTATAACTCTTCTTGGATGCTTTAACGTAAGATCATAAAATATTTCCATAATTGTCAAAATCAATTAAAATTTAAATTATATTTAGTAAAATTTGAAATGGCGGGTCCGACTGTAAATTTTGACGATATACGTATTATTTTGTGTGTTCAAGGATACAGTCTTGATTATAAATTTATTGTTCGAGAAATTGGATTTTGGACAAAAGGAATAAGTGGATCAATACCATTCAACTGTCGTTTAAATAAATCTCAAATTGATGTCAAAAATCAAACAACAATTTATGCTTTAGAAAATGAAATCCATGGAATTAAGTTAAAAAACAATTATGAATTTGGTCTAGCAATAAGTGAAGCAAAAGCTGTTCTTCGTACGCTTTATCACATTAATGACAATTTGAATGCCAAGTACATTGGAGTCATTCGCGATGAAAATATTAAAGGTTTATTATTCAGTGCTGGTTTAGGTAATTACGTATTTGAAATGGATAATCTTAATATATTTTCTAATGGTGATGTTAAGTGCCCATCAAATAGAGATCTTCAAAATTTTATCATTAAAACTCCTAATAAATACTCCATATGTAAATTACATGATAGATTGAAGAATAATCAGCCTCCAATTTGTGCTAAAGTTAAAGCTGAATTTATTGCTGAATATTGTCAAAATTACAAAATTTTATTATTAAAACTCCTAATAAATACTCCATATGTAAATTACATGATAGATTGAAGAATAATCAGCCTCCAATTTGTGCTAAAGTTAAAGCTGAATTTATTGCTGAATATTGTCAAAATTATCAAATTTTGCAAAATACTGACAATTACATTTATACAGATTTTCAATTGTAAACATATTTATTAATAAATAACTATTATGACCTTGTAAAATTATTATAACCTTGAACTTTGAATACTTGAATCATTGATTAATTAAAAACATTAAACAAAGTTATAATCATTACATTAAATAAATAACATCACTGTTTAAAATTGACCTTGAATGAATTCGTATATTAAACGATTAATTTAAGTTATACATATACATTATTATTAAATATAGTATATATATAAGTCTAGAAATTGATATTTCAAATTTATTGCTGAATATTGTCAAAATTATCAAATTTTGCAAAATACTGACAATTACATTTATACAGATTTTCAATTGTAAACATATTTATTAATAAATAACTATTATGACCTTGTAAAATTATTATAAATTTGAGTTGATTATAACCTTGAACTTTGAATACTTAAATCATTATTTAATTTAAGGCATTAAATTAAGTTATAATCATTACATCAAATAAATAGCATCATTGTTTAAAATTGACCTTGAATTAATTCGTATATTAAACGACTAATTTAAGTTATACATATACATTTTTATTAAATATAGTATATATATAAGTCTAGAAATAGATATTTCATATTAGTTTAAAATGAATTCTGACGAGACTGACCGTATGTCACTTAGTAAATTATACAAGAGTGAATTATTTAGAGACATTGTTTATACAGTGCTCTCTGAAGAATTTGACAAATTGTATGAAAGTTTAACAATATTAAATTGATTAAAAATAGAATTTTATAAATAATTTGATTTAAACACCCAGATCTATTTAAATTTCTGGAAAACCAATCTATACAGCTCAAACCTCTGTGCGTCCGATTTCATCGAGATCGATGACAACAATTTCAATATATCTGAGCGCGTGAACCAAATGTGTGGGACTCAGGCCAAGTTCGTGATCTCAAAGGCTAACGTAATGCACATCCGTTTCTTCGCCAAACCCGACGCCTTACAGAACACCGACTTTGCAATTATGTACACAGAATTCAGAGAGATTAACAACAGTACAGGTCAGTTGGTTTAACACCTTGGTGTTTTTTGTTTAGTTTTGATCAACATTATATTATTATAATTGTATGTTTTGAAGGTGAGAAGTGTTGGCACAACGAGTTTGACTGCGAGGATAGCACTTGTATTGATAGATCCCTTATATGTGACGGTTGGGAAAATTGTCTATACCGTTATGATGAGGATAAGAGAACCACGTGTGCACCTGGTAATTATGTTATATAGTATAATTTAATTTTTAACTCTCCTGGGCAAATTACTTAGCAAATAGCACTAATATCTCAACATTAATAAACAGATTATAAAAAATATTGCCCCATAGCTCAAAGCTTTAAATTAGTAAATAAACTAACCATGGTTCATATTTTTACATATACAGTGCAACGCTCAAATATAATCATGTTCATATCGCGAAACATTGTGGCAATACTAGTAATAATCGGTGTCCTATTGTTGTGTATGTGTGCGTCGATCACAACCTACTGTTGCTGTAAAATACAAAAACGGAGACAAACTAAACGCAAAACCCCGGAAGTGGTCGGTCTGGTCAGGATATGACCGGGAAAATGACAATTTATGTTAATATATCAATATATCTATCTATGTTTAAATGTATGTAAACTAATGCATAATTGTACCTGGTGCCAATTCTTGTGCCAACATATTGCAATTATTTTTTAATTTTGAAATAAACAACGCTCGGTGGCACTACTGTTGCCTCGAATAGTGTTTATATTGTTACAGAATTTGATATTTTCATCAAGAATATTTTATTATATTTTATTTACATGATCCTAAAATGTTATATAGTTTTAATTACTTGTTTGATGTATATGAATTATTTGTAAATTCTTTTAATAATAATATTAATAAAGCAATTAAAATAGTAAAATAGCTCGAAATGATACAATGAATTACATAGTTTACGTGGTATTTATTTTGATTACGTGCTGTCAATGTGTGAAAAAGGGTAAGCATTTTCTGTGGCCATAAATATGATATTAATAATTCATTTTTACAAATGTAGACAAATATATGCCTTCTAATGTATAGATTAGGCAAACCTTGTCATTGAAATCGCCATCAAATCCCATAGACATACATGCATTGGCCAATTATTTTGAGGGCATGTTTAGTGTTCCCATTGATAACAGTAGAACAATCATGTCAGTAGTTAATTTCTATAAGTATACACTCGTTAATCTCTCTCTCTCTCTCTCTCTCTCTCTCTCCTGGGCAAATTACTTAGCAAATAGCACTAATATCTCAACATTAATAAAATCTCTCTCTCTCTCTCTCTCTCTCTCTCACTCACTCACTCACTCACTTCGAATAACACAACAGCTGAAACGCCTCCACCACCTAGAGGTTAGTGCTATCTACAATATGATTTTAATATACAGATTTTAATTATATTGATAAAATAAAACACAGTATACTTTATATGCCATAATGTAAATATACAGAGTGTCAGTTCAATAAGACTGGTAGTAATGGACTTATAAAAGAAAAGGAAATTCCGGCTGAATTACAAAATTATGCAATAACTCAAGAGGTTTCACTCGATTGCATATGGAATATAACTGTTCAACATGGTTATCAGGTAATTTATAAATGATCTGGCAACAATCCGTTTGTGAAATGTTGATACAAATATAAATTATATTGATATAACAATGTTTAGTTTGAAAGTTTGAGTTAAATTAAAATTATACCGGTAGTAACAATTATAAATATTTATATTTATTTTATTCCAACACCTAGATTTATTTGTACTTCACAGACTACAGGCTAAACCAGCCGAACAATTGTGAGTCCAATTTCATCGAGGTCTATCATAACAATATGAATATATCGGAGCGTGAATACCAATTCTGCGCGACACTAGTCGAGTCCGTGCGCTCAAAGACTAACGTAATGCACATCCGGTTCTTCGCCAAACACAACGCCATACAAACCACTCGTTTTGAGATCGTATACACGGCCTACAGGCAGCTCAAAAACAGAGGTTCGTTTTTTTATTACCATAATGTTTCTAGTTATTATACTTAATATTTTATATGTATTGTTTTGGTGTTCTATAATGTGAGTGTTAGATTATTGCTGAGAATATATTGTATATTTATTGTGTAGTGTTATTTATTTTGAATAATTTTTTAAAAATATATTCAGATCAGTGTCGGCCCAACGAGTTTGACTGCGAAGACGGCACATGTATCGATAGGCAGCTCGAATGTGACGGTTGGGACAATTGTGAATATCGTTATGATGAGGATATGGAAACAACATGTGCGCCTGGTAATTATGTTAGAGTAATATAGTGAAGAATCTACACTGTAAATTATGTAAATTACATTATATTTTTGATATAGTCATGTAACTTAAATAAGTAAAAATTAAAATATTTACATTGTATGATTGCCTATCTAAATATTTTTAAAACTTTAAAATACAAAGTTTCGCGTACTTGCAATAATTAACCCATATTGTTTAAGCTATACATTAATAAATAGTACTGTAATAATATTTAGACACATTTTAGAAAATAATATTAACTAACTTTAATATTAAATATATCTATTAAATAAACTAACCATGGTTAATGTTTGTGAATATACAGACCAGCGCTCATCTATAATAATGTTCATATCGGAGCAAATGGTGGCAATACTAGTGGTGATCGGTGTCCTAGTGTTGGGTGTGTTTGTGTGGATCGCAATATTCTGTTGGAAGGATAGGGTCTGATCAGGGAATAACATCATATGTTAAAATCATATTATATATCATATATACAAAATCTACGTTTAGTTGCATAAAATTACTATATAATAATTATTATCTAGATAACAATTATTGTGCCTGGTGCCAATTCTGCTTTCAACATATTGATATTATGTGAAACCATCATATAAACATCGCTCGATGTCACTAGTGTTGATGTCATAGTGTTTACCTTGTTTCATCAAGAATATTTTTTTACTTTATCCAAAAATGTCACTTAATTATTTAATGCTCTATAGTAATTATTTGTAGACTTTTAAATATAAATATTAATAAAACAATTAAAATAGCAAGAATCTGAAATGATACAATGAATTACATATTTTACGTGATATTTATATTGATTACGTGCTCTCAAGGCATAAACAACAGTAAGTGGTTATAATTGGGATATTATTTAATTAATTAATATTGTAAGTTTGGGAAAAAATATTTCTTTTTTGGCGTAAAGATTTAGCACTACTTGTGATTCAAATCATCAAATTTCATGTATTGGGCAGAAAACATATTAAAATTTTTACTTGCATTACAGTTATATAAATAGTATTCTCTCTCTCTCTCTCTCTCTTTCTCTCCCTCCCTCCTCCGACACTAAACAGCTGATGGTTTGCAGAGAGGTTAGTATTATTTTTAATAATATCGCATGTATTAAGTAATACAATATTAATTAAAATGTAAAATATTGTATGCATTGTATGTCTGTTATGTAAATCCGTTATTACACAGAGTGTCGGTTCAACAAGACTGGTGTGGCTGGACTTATTCACCACAAGGAAATTCCGGCAGAATTACAAAATTATGCGATATCCCAAGAGCTACCAATTGATTGCATATGGAACATAACTGTTCAACATGGTCATAAGGTAGTTTATAGTTTAACTTACACAATCACTTTGCAAAATGGTCTATCCTAATTTTGATATTGCTAATTGTTGATACAGGTAATATTAATGTTAATCAATTTAATTACCACATAGATAAACTTAGACTTCTATGAATGCACCCTGACCAAGTCAAATGACTATAAGGCCAATTACATCGAGGTTTATGACTACAATTTTAATATATCTGAGCGTGAGATCCAATTGTGGGGCACTCAGGCCGAGTCCGTGCGCTCAAAGACTAACGTAATGCACATCCGGTTCTTCGCCAAACACGACGCCTTACAAGAGTATAAGTTTGAGATAATATACACCGCCGTCAGAGAGCTAGACAGTAGAGGTGAGTGAAGTAGGATCTTGGTTAATTTGGTTTATATATTTCTCACCCCAAATAAACATAAAAATTGTGATTAATTGATTTACCATTCAAATGTGTTTTAATTGTAACACTAGATTATTTGCCAGAATATTCTGTATGTTTGTATACAATGTTGTGTGTGTTTTGAGTAATTGTTTTGGTGTATTGCAGAGAAGTGTTGGCCCAACGAGTTTGACTGCGAAGACGGCTCTTGTATTGATAAGCAACTGCAATGTGACGGTTATTTCAATTGCCTAAACCATCACGACGAAGACAAAACGACCACGTGCGCTCCAGGTAATTGACAGAGATGTAACGCGGCTGATTAAAAATAGATAATTCTCCTAAATTATAATTTTTAAACTAAATTTAATGGGAATTTTTAAATTTTTGTTTTCATTTAATAGTAGTTTTGTCATGTTGTTTAATGGGTATCAATATATGTAACAACTAAAAGTTGCAAAATATTTTAATTAATGTTTTCAGAGGGTGCAATTCGTACCTAAATGTTATTTTCGTTATCCAATGTTTGTGATGACATAATTTAAACCATTTTATTATCTCAAATTCCTATGGAAAAGTGCCATGGTCATTGTGCCAAAGCTTTTATAGTGGTCAATTTGTTGGAATGAGAATTGCCCCAACAATACCTACAGACAAAGCTGTTTTGTACATCAATAATCATTGTTTCAAATGAAACAAAATTAAAAATTATTGTTTAATTTAGTTATAAATTATAATTAATAAAAATTATCATTTTTTATTCGGCCGCCTTATTGTATAAACTATAATTAATTAAGATAATGAAATTGCTCGCTTATCTATCTAAATATTTAAAGATTAATTATAACAAGTTTTATATAGCTAAATATTTATTTATGCTGTCATGGATATTTAACACGACATATTCAAAAGCTTATAATTTAAACTAATCAGGGTTTTGTATTTGGTATAAATACGTAGATACTAATGGTCTCTATGCTACTATACCATGGCTCGGCATTGTCGTTGTAAACACCATCTGTATCGTAATGCTTGGTTTGTGTGCAGCGATTACATACTTGTGTTGTTGTAAATCACATAAACGGGGACAAACAAAACGGGACATTAAATCACGGGAATTCCCGGTAGACGACAGTCCCGACCAGATGTAATCGGGTCGAAATCGGGGAGACTGCTATATCATACCCCGTGTAAATGCTAATATATCTATGTGGTAATATGTAATTTTATATAAATGTATAAACAGCGTATTCAGTATAATGTAATTCTTTATATACAATTGTGCTTGGTGCGCATTCTTATTGTGGTCAAATATTGTAATTCTATTCCCCTGCTATCTAATAGCACCGTTAGATGTTAGCAGTGTTTTTGTATGATGGTGTTTTCTGACTAAATGTATTGTATACCTGGAAATTTTTATTAACTTAAAAATTTTAAATATATTTTAATGTTAACAGTAATATATTTTTGTTTAATGTTTTGTTAAATAATACTATTTTTATATTTTTAATCAAGTTGTATTTTTGTAGATAATGTTTACTAAATATTTGTTAAACATGATACAAATTGTATCATACAATATCAATGATAGCGACATTAATTAAATTATGTAATAATAAAATTCTAATCTGACCATAACCATAATCTTATAAACAAAATAATTTTTTATTGTTGTTAAATATTAAATATAAGTCTATTATAAAGTTATTATAAAACTGAAATAACTAATAAACAAATAATTTATGACATAGAACTTAATAAATTCTTCAATTCTATTGTTTAAATAGTTACGATTTTAATATAAAAATAATTATTCAATAATTTTAATTGCATTTGTCTTTAAGTATTTTCCTGATATTGATGTGTAATAAGTGATCCGAAGTGAGCTATAATTTAGTTACCATTTTAAAAATTAATTAATTTTTAAATCTAGAATATTATCAACAAGTGTTGTCTATTGATTGTGGACTTCGAGTGCCCACACATTGATCGTTATTTTAGAGAGAGAGAGAGAGAGAGAGAGA